GCATGACCACACCTACACCTAGGTTGGACAGCTTTCGCAGAAGGAGGTCGAGCGGCGCCTTGTCGAAGGCCTTACTGAAGTCCACGAAGATGATGTCCGTTTCGTGTCCTATGGCCTTGCCCTCGGTCGAGCATTCACGTTCAAGTAGTAGGTTTGAGAGGCATGAGCGACCCGGCCAGAAACTGTGGTGTTGGTGGCACAGGTGACTGTGGCACGCCAAATGCTGCCGAAGCCGTGCAGCCACCAGTCACTCCATTACTTTACCCACAACGCTAGTAAGGATGAATGGTCGGTAGTTCCCAGGGTCACTCCTATCCCCAACATTGGGCAGTTGACCAATGACAGAGTCCTTCCACTGCCGCGGTAAACGCTCTTGAGTGAATAACCAGTTGAACAGGTTGCACAGTGGCGCTGCAACTTCATCTGCCAGCTCCTTCAGGATCAGCGGATTCACACAATCAGGTCCAGGTGACTGGTGAACCTTTAGTCGACGCAGCTCCAAGGCCACCTCTCCGATGGTAAATGGGGCCCAGTTCAGTGCAGTGTCAGTGTCCAGTGAACATGCCAGTGTGCTGGAGGCTGGGGTGTACACTGAGGCATAATGTGATGCCTGCATCTCCGTTTTGTCCTTTCGGCTAGTGCCCCATATTTGGCGAGAGTCGGGAGACCGGGCGTTGCTCTGATTCTTCGCCTGAGGTAGGCATACCATCGCTTTGGTGCTTGTACTGAATCCGCTGCTAGTAGTTCCTCGAATCTGGTTCTCTATTGCATTTTTAGTGCAGTATAATGATTCCGAATACATCAGTATTCCTCATGTCCTGCGCCTGTTGCACGGTACCTGGGCCAGGCTTTATTCCGCTGCCGGAGGCACACCCGCAGTTCTCGGTCAAACCATGGCTGGCCCATAGCGTGTGTTCGGTGGCGGTGAGGTGGAAGGAATTCCAGTACGAGTTGCTGGATTCTATGACGAACCAACTCCCAGGGTTCATCCACATCCTCAGAGTTCCGGGAATTCCAATTTGTGAGCGATGCAGCCTGACGCATATCCGGAAAGGATGAGAGCCACACATTCCGTCCGTCTTGTGGTCTGTCCGTTTGGGGTACGCCACGTCTCCAGTGTATACGCAGAACGGAGTGATCACTAGATGCAACTGGTGGAAGGAGGTCAATCCTGGTCGTATCTGATTGCCTCGGCGAAAATATCAGGTAAATGCTTGATCCTTTATCTCCAACTATCCACGTGGGTACATGAACATGCTGAACAAGTGAGAGAGCCCGGACAGCGAAAAGAAGTTCTCTGGAAAACAAATCTGCGTACTGAGAGGAGATGTTAGTTTTCCAATCAACATGGGGCGCGTTGAAATCACCCAAGACAAGACAATGTCCATTTCAGGCGTACCTCTGTATGCTGTCTAGCAGCTTTGGGACGTACATAGCTGGTGTGCGGTAAACCACTC